ATGTACAGTCGGCAGCTTTAAATTGTAGATTTTAGAATAGAAGGGCTTCGCATAAACTTTAGAATAGAAGGGCTTGCCCCCGCAATATTGGATCTTCAGACAGTGCAGTTGTGCTTGAGTTCGTTCAGTTCTGTTCTCTTTGTGAAAGTGAATGTTAAAGTCGTTTTACTCACGCGACGTCCTGCATCAGCATAGCATGCAACATGCCATATTTTTAAGTTTTCACGCGATTCTTTTGCATTTCAGCCGTCGTTTCTCGATGAATTTCGTCCTCCAATTACGGTTTCCGAACGCTATAATTGCCGCCATGATTGCGCTTCCACATACACCCTGTACGTCGAGCTTATGCGGGATGACCACAGAGATTTCACAAACATTGAAGAGCTACAAAATGTGAGGCGAGAAATTTTCAATGTAGGCGTGGATTTTGGCGGAAATCATTTAGGCTCTGATGCGACGACTCCTTCCTCGATAACTCGGATTCGCCGAATGCAGAGTTCCACCGGTACAGTTTAATCAGTTATTAGTAGTTGTACTTAGTTCTGCTAGCATCCTCAAAAGCTCCTTTTGGTTTTATGCGTTTTTTTTGCATCTATGCAATGCAGAAAACGCATATTGACGAGAGGTTTCCTGAATGTGTGTCTGTGTGTTCGTCTGTACCGATTTTTCATCTCGAGACCTGTAAAATCTACAGGGCTGAAACTTTGGGAACTTAACTTACTTGCATTGGCGGCTCCCATCCTCAAAATGGGCATTCTTTTACGGGCGTGGTACCTCGTACGGGCCCGCCAAAGTTTTTTACGGGCAAGCTGCTAATTTGGGAACCAGAGAAGCTGGAAAGCTGAAATTTCAAGGAAACGTTGCCCGTCCACGTAGATCTTAAAGAGTTCAAACCCAGCCGTCGTGTTTGCGTGGTATCCACGTACGGGCCCGTGAAAATCTTTTTGTGGGTAAGTTTTTAACTCGGGAACCCGAGAAGCTGGAAGACGAAATTTTAAGGGGATGTTCCCCGTCCACGTAGGTCTTAATGAGCTCCAACCCGGCTCCTGGGTATGCGTAATTTTTTGCGAATAAGTTG